GTCGCTAAGAAAACACTGGCTCGCAACATACACGTCTTGTGTTATTTGTTTTTCTGGACAATTCGCACTTTTGAACCGTGGACAATGAACATTTATAAATATATAATGACTGGTATGTAAACTTTGAATCGTCCTGTGGAATCTGTAATTACTGATGCCTATTTTACTTTCAGTCCCGCTTAAGGTATAAGTAATCGTCAGACCTGACACCAACACGTAAGTCAGACACACCCCGGTTGATTTCCGAAGTTCATCACATACGATCTCAGACAATCTGGTAACCTGGGATTAAGATATCTTTATTGAGAAATCGTACATTTCAATGCTCTATCGTAATCGCTTTATGATAGTACTTATTTCTGCTATTACCTATCTTTGCGAGAATATCGGCAGCCTAAAAATTTAAACTCTGCACAGGAGGTAGTAAAGCTATGTTCGCCTTGTCTCTGGCAAAATCTTCACAAAGTCGCACCTCTTGCACATTTGTGTGATGAATTTCCTGCAATATAATGATTTAGTGGCTTATATATTTAACTATTGGAGGCAATATTAACAACTTGGTATGTTATTATCATCTATAGGATATACATAACATTTACAACGTTCAGAACAGCTCATGTTTTTACTTTAACCTATTCCTTCTATGAAATTTGTGAAAATCAGCCAAAAATGCATTTAAGAAAGAGAAAAACGTAAAATCTTACTATGGTATAGGTAAATGTTGCGCAGTTTTGGTAGCCTTGATGATAATACAGTTTTTTATGACGATATATGCTTAGATCATGTTATTTCATATAACAATAAATTATTTGTCTACCTTCAGTGTACAGCTAGGTGGAAGTAAGTGCTAGCCTACTATGCAAATAAGAAAAACCTATTGTAGCCGTACCTGAATGATTAATTTTCAAGGACTTCGTGATAACATGTTCCACAAGATGGAAAGACCCTTTCTCATTTTTTTGAAATCAGCAAATAAACTTTCAAAGTTACTTAAAATTACTTTCCACTTTTGGCTGTGGATAAAGCAGAAACAAAAAGCTAGCACAAAAATCTGTCGCGATATCACAGTGTCGATGCTAAAGTCATGTATCACGCCCGATTTGAATTCTCCGCTTTATTGTCCAGTGTTTTTTACAGCAGTGAAGATAGAAGGTTAATTGGCCTATAATAATCCTTGCAATTTATATTACTATGTAGATCCAATCTCGCTTTTAATGTAATAACAGAAGGTGCTGATATTACATATGCTGGCGAAGAATTCTAGTGATTTATTACTTGGTGACAGAAACAGAATTTCTGACGTAAGCTATTTGATCATAGTGTTTGAACTATCTCTGTATGTTCTTCAAACAGTTGAACAGATTACTTTGCTATAGTTGGTCATTTGAATGGGGTAGAAAAAGGAAGAGACTGAGGACCGTACTTCGGATGACTCCACTTTTTACAAGTTCCCACATTGATAGGGCTTCATTTACTTGTGTTTGTTGTCTCATATCACTGAGAAAGTCACTTATCCAATTTATTATTTCATAATGTATCCAGAAACTTTCCTGTTTTAATGTGGAACTTCAGTGAGAGGTTTTACTTAGATCTATGAAACTACATCTACCGGAATATTTCTGTCTTTCGCTGCAATCCAGTCTTCTCTTGTAGTGTCAGATTTGTCAAGCATGATAGACCTTTTCCAAAACTATTTTGTTCCCTGGATGAAAGATTATTCCCCTTCACGTAGTTTTGAATAGCCATCTGATTACGTCTGACAAGTTTCTTGATCAGTGTTGGTAATCCATGGTATAAACGGTACATAACTAAGCCAACTGTCCAATTACTATCAGACGCATTAAAATCTCCTAATATCATGTATGTTATTTGTATCCCATAGTTGAATGTGCTATGAGATTAAGTCATCAGTTAAACAAACTGAGCTGCGATAGATGGCATTGAGTGAACATGTACAACCCCCAAACATGAGTTCATTGTTAGCAAATTCACAAGTTCCGACATCATTAGATTCACAAATAAGGGGATGGATGTTTATATTATTCGTCTTGTATATAAAAATCACACGTCTTTCCTGCATCTATTCCTATAACTTCTTAGGGATTTGTACACCGATAATTCTTGAGTGACGTCAAGGTCATGAACTAACCAAGTTTGTTTCACCTCTATGAGTGACCTCAGTTCGTGCACTAAAACTCCTAGTCCATTGAAATTTATGTGCTATGCTACAAGTATTTGTAAATAGAACTAATCGGGACAACTCATCCATATAGATCTTATCAGTACGTGCTTACAAAACCTGACTACTCACCACGATGTGAATATGCTGTTTCGGTCACAAAAATGAAGCAGAAGGTCGTGGCCAAAATGTAAAAGGAAAATAAACGATGTCATGCTGACAACATCCTAATTCGCCGGTTGTTTTTCTCTGATTCGAATCCTCCGTGACTTTAGTTGCTTTATCGTGTGGTGAAAGATTAATTCACAGAATAAGTTGTCCCATTTAACTTGGCATTGGTGCCAAATTCTGGACATACTCAACCTGACGGCACTCGATCGTGCATCTGCATCAGATCATGTATAGGTACTCCGCGTTATGCATCATTTGCAACTACTAACCAGCTTAAAACAAACGCTTTTCAACATGTCGGCATCTTTCGGAAACTATCTCCAAATTCACTCACACAAGTGAGGCCAACCAACTATATATCTGCCGACAGCAATAGCATACACCACAGTATGAGCATATATATGGGTACATCGATGTCAGTTTATTGTGTGATTTAGTTGGAGCATTTGGATATGCAATTGTAATATGGTGTCACAGCAGTTGGTTACCCAGCTATCAGTGTTGACGCTGTTTAATTTGTTCAGTAAAGGTTGTCTTAGAATAGAGCAGAAGACGTAAGAACATTCTAGAAAGGCGCGTCGGACATACTGCTTACCGTTTCCAAGTTGAACACTGTTTTATGGTACAAAACAACAGCGGCATCTAAGTTGCTTCTTTTGCAGCTGTAAACTAACCGATATGGATCAGTGCGCTCTTACAGTAAAAGCTGAGGTGGGATAGGCAATTATTTGTCCTTAGATATTTGGATTATCTTTCTTCCTCTCCCCATTTTCGGTAAGAAACTGCTCGGGGAGTATTTGTTGAAGATTCTTGTGAATAGATAACACAGAATTTCATCAAGCTTCTTAGAAAGGAGGTCCAAAGTTTTATCCTGTCCTAAAAATTGAGACAGCTTAAGTGACTAGGGACATCTTCGGACAGAAGTGGCTCACAGAAATGCTTTCAGTGGGACAATAAATATCAAGACAGAATTCAAGATTACATATGATCACGTTTACGGTATTTTACAATAAGCCTGTAGTGGTATTTGTCCTAACCACACAATGCTCAAAGCTAAATATGAGATAACAGGGAAAATAGATGTTCAACATTAAATACGGAGAGATGATCAACAGTGGTGAACGCGGGAATATTCATACATTCAATCGGATGGCATGGCTCAGGCCCACAGTCGTCGTCATTCTGTATAACTTGTTTTTATTCATATTAAATATATTATCCTATCTTAAGCCCAAATGTGTCCTTCAGAAGTACTAAGTACCATATTGTTAATTGTTACGTTCGATGAGTCAGTGTAGACAATGATGTGACTTCTACGTAAGATCTTACCGATCAGGCAGTCACATCGTGACAGATCTAAAATTTTGTGATTAGGTCTATTATTATAATAGTACTAATAGCGAAGTAGACCATAATTCTATAAGTCGTCTTTAAACAATCCCAAATTAGTTAAATAAAACATGTTTTTCAGGTTTTGGATATGTTCTTTTAACTGCTTTCTTTATTCGAATTTCTTTGTCTGCTGTTGCAGTCCACTTTCTCCCGTCTTGTCATATACATTACGTAGAACAAGAATAATTTGCTGATCAGAACTAGATAATGGAGCACATGTTCCCTCATCATTGATGAAAACTAGGACTAGGACTAGGGCATTCAAACGAATGAGAAAATTTAATTCATTATAGCGACCTAGTGATGAAAGAATGCTACAGTCACATGAACTAGAATCACCACATACACTCAAAAGTGAACCAGTGAGGGCAGTTATAACAAATTCAGTAAACTCATCAGAGAAAACAGACAATGCAGATGATGTGAAGTCCGCAGTCACGTAGATTCTGGTAGTCATAAACATATGTATATTTATTCAAGTGTTTCGGACGGCATCTTGAATTTCAACAGTCGATAAAAATGTTTGAAATCTTGAAACGTTAAAAAGTTGATCGATATCAGTTCACATTTCTTTCAGAAAAATCACCCAGTTTTCATTGACACTGAACAACAATACTTCCTGATCTATAGAGCAGGTGAGATAGTGTTTCACAAGAGTTAAAAAAAATGTGTTTTATGACGCCAAACTCTCCTGTGTCACTGACGTCAGTGATTTTGTTGATCATCTTGTTAGTCTCAGGAAAACATAAGACACTCGGTGGTGTACGATAGATTAAAACAGACTGCATCTCAATGGAACAATTGCCACTTGAAAAACAGTCAAATTTTAATAGGCAAACTTCATGGATCTATTTAAATTTGTGAAATTTTGTTGTAATATGTCAGACCTCTCATTTTTACTTAATTTCACGATTTTGTTGTTGAAATTGTTGCAAATAACAATATCAATCCTTCACATAGTCGGTTTATTAATCAATGGATTGTAGGAGTATTTGAAAAAATGTATCTTCACTTCACTGACATCTAAAATTGCTATCACTAGGTCCTCTTGGTGAAACTATTGGACCCATTATGCCTCTTTGATTCGCAACACGGGTGTCTTCGATTGACCATATTTGACAGTGAGATATTGAGGAACGCACAATAAAACATTACATACGCAAAGTGGTCTTATCGCGGTATTTATACGCACTTGCCGTAAATAAATATGGATAGGACGACTTGTAAACGAATTGTTTCAGGCTATTGAAGGATGGTCATGAACAAGAAAGCAACTCGGAGCTACTGCAATGTCGCTGAGGATGGACAAGACGCCCGACAAGATGAACTAATTGTAAGTAGTACGGTGGATCACGGAATATTGGAAAATTGAACGAGCGCGAAATATTCTACACCTTCCAAATCTTCTCTATCAAGTGAGATTGGGCTGGTCTTCTTTGTGTTGTATTTGAAAGTCTTGGTTTTTCCACTGTGTACGTTGAGGCATACTGACGCAGAGGCTGATGCAAAAATATTTGTCTTTATCTGCATTTGTTTGTGTGCATGGTATAGAAAGGCCAGATCATCTGCGAAGTTAAAATCTTTAATTGATTCCGATATGTCCATTTTATTCCGTGCTTTCCCTTAGATGTCGAGGTTTTTATAGTTCAGTCGATCATCAGAAGAAAGAAGATAGAGACTAAGCAGCCTCGCTTGTCCCCGGTTCCCACTTGGAATGCATCTGTCAGCTGTCCTGCATGCACGACGTTTCACTGTAGTCCGTCGTATGAATTCCATATGATGTTGACGATTTTCTCAGTGTCGGGGAATGTTTCATAAGGTTTTCCTATCAGCGACGAGTTCCATTCAACTAATTGTTCGACGATGATTCGTATTGTAGCAACTTGGACTACACACGACCGATACTTGCGGAATCCAGCCTATTGTTCTCGAAGTTAGGCGTCTACTGCGTCTTTCATCTGGTTCAGCAACACTTTGTCGAAAACCTTTCCTGGTACTGACAGTAGTGTGGTGCCTCTGTAGCTCCCACATTTTTCTCAGATCTCTTTTCTTTGGTATCTTGATTAGGTGTCCTTTCCAGTCTTTCAGAACTTGTTCTTCCTCTTAAATCTTCCTGAATAAAACGTGGAGAGTGCTTGCAGTTGCTTCTATGTCTGGCTTCAGTGCCTCAGCTGGTAAATCGTCAGGTTCTTCTGCTTAGCGTGTGGAGCATTTTCCTCGTCGTGACAAAAGTACAGCAGCATTTCTTCCGTGTCTAGCCTTTGTTGTCCAGCTTAGGTCTAATCGGTTCTACTTATTCTGAGCACCTTCAAGTTGTGAACCCTCATTTCCGCTGCTATTTTAATGGTCCTCCTGGTGTCTTATATTGTCCTGATGTTCCGTGTGCTATTTTTGACTTCCGGGGAACATTTCGGGCTTAGGACAGCATCTAAACTTAATATAAGAAGACGTTGCACGGAGTGACCAAGCCTATGGGGACAAGCCATGCCTTATAGATTAGGCATTGCCGCGTTAACCATTTCTGACTTTTTATGAGTGTTAAATTTTGAATAGAAATCTCAGTTATCATATGTTTAGTTTCTAGGATAATACGGTTGAGAACCAATACCCTTAGAGACGCATCATTAACAAATTTCATCTAGAGTACTAATTGTTTCCTAAACTCAAACTAATGAGAAACGTTACATTGTAATGATTTGCGCAAACTGTGACATTATAGTGTGCTTGGGCGGAAAGTCTTCAAGAGCACAGTATGTAGAAGTGCGAGATATAACAAGAAAAAAGTTTGAAGCTCAATATACATACATAATTTACTCATATTTAAAAGTGAGTACACAAGTCAACAAATAGTAATATCGCGGGTGTGTGACTAAAGGGACAAGGAAATCAAGACTAACAACCGTAACATGAGGTTTTGTGTCCGTAACGGATTACCCTTTGCATAAGTTGCGCACGTGTTTCTTTTGACAATCCACCAAAATTATCGGAAGTACCCGAAGATCTGTACCAGTATCGAAGAGATACCATACAGTCGTCATCATATCGGTGGTGATGTGTAATAGCTTTTTACTACCTCTGGAAAGATAACGTCTGGAGGATAACAGTGAAGAAGTCTCCTCAAGTAACAGATATGGTGGAAAAAGGCATTTTTATCCACAGTTGTGAGATCACTCGTATGTATAATGGCAGTAATCCCAATAAATTTTGTTGTTTTCATGTCATTGGGGGGGGGGAAATGCTTCCGTGAAACAAATATTCATGGAACTCAAGACAATGATTTATGGAATACAGGAAAAGGATTGTAAGTTTTTGGATATGAAAAAGGTGGTTTCATATAGTCCGAGGTTTTTCCTCAGTGAAGTGAACCACAGTGACATTGGTTCTGGTGATCACCTGAACGCCAACTTTGGAAGAATCTAGATTATGTTCCAGGTTGTTTTGAAGCGAGACGGAAATTGCGTGAACTTGACGAGAAAGAATTCGACGATGGACTGATTATTGGTGTTCGTTGTCCAATAAAATTTTTCGCACTTAGGAACATTTCTCTTAGTGATTGCCGTATTAACAGCTTTGTTGTTCTCAATTCAATGCTTTGATGAGTAATAGTGTTCTGATGTTCGAAGTGACTACTGTGCTGTTGATTGTTATATTGTTGTAAATACTGTACAACAGATGAGTCTCTGAAGGCAAATTTATGATCGGTTCCAATCATCAGTCTAATAAACCCTTATTCTTATTTGAAATAACCAGAGGGACAGATTAATCATTAATCTAAGGTATGTGATAAAGTAATAAAAATGTCACCTTGACATCCAACAATAAGTTCTGAACTGGCTGAACAGGATTTACATAAGTATTGAGATTAACGTATGATTCCTTATATTTTATTTCAGAAATTTTCATTGCATAGTCTGCTAATTTAAATTGATATCTAATGTCTTGGTAGACTGTAGATCATTCTTTGAAAACAACGGGCCAAGGACACTTAGTAGCTCTTTCAGTGCACTGAATTAAATTTAGTCTCGCCCCAGTATCTTTCGCGAAAACTTCACATATTCAATTGATGCTCGGACGAAATAGAAGCTGTTGCTTAACGGATTTCCATATCTAGCAGCAGTGGATCATCGATGCTTCCAGGTAGGAACTTGAGTACATTTGACGATAAATAGAAACGTGTCATCATATCATAGTAAGATACTGTCCTTAGTACTCAAGAATATGTCGAGTTTCCCCTCAAAAGACTCATTAAAAGCTGTTTAAACCACTTCAGCTGGCAGAGGATTCCAGAATTTGACTACTCGTAAAGAACAAAAGGTGTGCTTACAGTCGGTTCTGCTGTGTTGTGTCTCTTTAATTTCTAGGTGTTATCACTAAGGTTTTTTTAGGACTGAACCTAAGTAAGTATATAAGAAGATGACCGGTAGTGTTCAGGATGCCGTGTCATTAGGTCACGTCTGAGACGCCCATATCTTAATGGGTACACTTTCAGTGATTTGAGAAGTCCTTCAAAAGGTTTGAACTTGAGTTCTCGGACTAATTTCGTGGCTCGCCTTTAGATACATTCCGATGTATTGTTATCCCTTTGGGTTGAACTAGAGAACACTGTACTTTCAGACTCCAAGTGAGGTCGAATCAAACTATTGAAGATTCGGTGGAAAGTTTTTCCACCGAACTGCCTTAAAAGACGTTACAACGTTAGCAGTACAAGGTTTGCTCGAAAGGTATTTTTTGTCACAATTAACGTAAGACTTCAGATCATAGGGTTCCAACACCTCCAGTTCTTTTTTTAACTTGTGAATCCTTTAGAAGGAAGTTACCTAAGTTGTATTCGTAGTCTGCAACTTGTCTCATATGAACTACTTTACACTTTGAAGTGCCAAAGGTAAGCCCGTTATTGCCCACCCAACTTTGAAGTCGAGTCAGATCCTCCTGAAGTGCCGATTCATCCTCTTGGTTGTCCACGGCGATCAGTAGGTTAGTTACACAAGAGTGATGCTTTCTGAAACTGTGCTGTTAGGGTGGAAAAACGTCTATGGATAGGAGGTAATCACATGGACCATCAAATATCAGGGACTACATAATTTTTGTAGGTATTAAGAGATGTGCTACCGGCCGGTAACTTCACGGTATGTTGCGTTGACCTCCTTTGAGAAGTGATGTAATACGAGCCAACTTTCAATTTTCCGGTACCTTGTCTCGGTCTAGCGATTACTGATTACATGGATTAATTACGAATTTGATTGTGCTACAAATGAATCTTAAACTGGAGTCAGGTATTGACACAGAAGTCTCATCACATATGGATTTTCGGAGCACAGCTGTGGAGGATTTCGTTTTGTGAGAAATTGTAAGTTTTCCGGTCAAGTTTCGAACCAGAATGATATAAATGTTAAGTGCCCTATAAATTCCAACTGTTTACCAATGGGCTACATCATTGATGAAGACTACTAGCGTAACGTTCTATAGACAAAACATTTCAATAAAACGGAGTGAGATTCAATAAATGTATCGAATATTAGGCTACTTTGACCTATTATGGTTAAAGATAAGTATCTTCTTGTTGACAAAGTAATTCAGAGTTATGGAGGGTTATTTTGAGTCGGTCCCATTAGCTGTTTAGAAATTTTTCATCGGAGTTTTACTGGATCATCCAGATCAGGGGTGGATTACTTATGGCGAAAATGATTCAATATTAATATGGACAGCTAAGGTCGAATAGTAATATTATTTCGTGAATAGTTATATAATTTTTAGTTAAATTTTATCACGGTAATATCGGCTAGAGAAGCACTGAAATTCTGGGAGCATCAGGGGGCCATTTAGTGACTTCATCAGTATGGGTGTATCACTTCACATAAGGTGCAGGCCAGTACTTTCATGTTTCGCGTAAACACTAAATTATCAGGTCCCGATTCGGTAGTAAATATTTTCAACTCGAGCCCATTTGTGCTAAAAATACTAAATATCGGGATATTATTACCCACTTTTACTAATAAAACAACGTTTGTTTGCTTTGATTTACAACAAAGTTTGTTACCAATGAAAAACAAGAATCAGACAACAATTCGATTGAGTGAGCAAATATGTGGATACATGATCGATGAAATATCAAGTGAAAGTTCTGAAGGTGGGAGACGGTTTTTAAGAAATCCAGAGAAACGAATAAATAAAAATGTTGGTGGGTAAATGAATCCTGTGGTTTTCCGAAGTTTCCTATAGTTGTGTCAAATGTTTCATTTTAGAGACTTGATAATTTTATGATATAAGGAGTTTCGAGGTTAGATAACAATTAGATCTTACTGAATGAGAAGTGATTGCTTCTAGTTAGTACTTGAGCTAGAGTGGTTGCACGTTTTGAACGAAGAAGCCCCTTACAAAATGAGTGAGGAGTAACACTACGGAAAGTTATCTACGCTGCAGTCATTTGGAGCGTAGGCAAAGACAACGAGAAGATAACCGAGTGTGACTCTGTCTTTTCGACTTTTTACTATCGCGTTTTGTCCGACAATACACAAGCGAAAGTCTATTGGAATCCAGTCTAATAGAGCTTGTTCTGTTTTTGAACTTAATGCTATACCTACACGAGCGGGACTAAGGGAAGTGGTAGAGAGTTCTCGAGATACTCGAAGGGTAAAATCTTGCCGGTTCCTTATGTTGATAAGGCGAGGTCGAATGAATTACCGTACTTTGACTGCGTATGCGCGTTTTGGAGACGCAGCATATACCAATGGCTGGAGATTCGACACTCTTAGCCAAAGAAGTTTGATTTTCTACCTGACACGAAGTTCAAAGATGAAGTTTGTAATGTGGTTTAAGGAGACCAGAAATAACATTTCTAAAACTCAGATCACTAGCATTAGCGGCTTGTGGAGATAAAAATACACAAGAAGGGTTAGTTGGGGGGGGGGTGGAAGAATTATTAAGAGGTGAGGGAGGGATTCGATAGTCAACAAGATTATCTCAGGTGTTGATAGAGGTCTAAAGACTGTTGACACTTCTCTGGTGCCCACACCGTGGAAGGATATTTCTTCTTAATGGGACTTAAAAAGCAGCTTAATTAGTAGTTTTAGCGATCGGGAACCGTGACCCTAAAGCTCAAGGGACAACTGCTTAAGGTCGGTCACGCACGGCCTTTTTATGGTAAGATTGTTATGTGCTAGCTCTGCACTTTAAAAGACCTTACTACCGGAGACGAAAGTCTGTGTGGTAAGGTGAGACAATTTCGGAGTCAAACTTTTTAACCCCTTCCTTCCGGTTTGAGATAGTAGCATAGCTTCAGATGCTGGATGTTCGATGGAAACACCTCAATGCTGTCACACCCCTCTACAGTCAGCAGTACGACTTCATCGTAGAACATCAGGTTGCTGCTTTTGGTCTTACCGCTCTCCAACCGACCTGTCAGGCATTTTAGGATCTAACGAAACATATGTTTCGGCCAATATAACTCGGTCGTGTCATCACAGTAGGTTCGCTCGACCACCACTTCGAGTTGGCAGCTACAATCGGGATACGTGATAATAATAGAAGCTTGGCTCCAGAAATCTTTTCGGAATCATGGCTAATGAACAATTGAGACCTGTAGATCAATAGGAGTGTGAATTATCGCTGCTCAAGGTTAGTTGTACCAGTTGAGGATCATGGTTTGTTACGTCTAGAACGCTAGGTTACAGAGAAAAACAGCAAGCGTGCGGAAATGAAATGACAGTCGAAATTCTGGTAGAGGAATATAGCACACGATGTCGATTAGCGTGTCAAGAAGTAACAAAACTGGTAGCAGTCGTATATTGAACGTCGTTTATAATTCTTTTGTTAATATTAAGAGGCGTAGCATTTGGAGTGCAACAATACTTTGTAGTATTACAGTTATTCTCACTTTTCCAAATTTGCCATATTGCTTGGTGACAGCTAGTGAACTGTCAAAATAGAGGATCACCTTACAGCTGCTTTTAATGATTTGAATTTGTTCAACAGTTTAAAACCACAATCGGATACGAAATCAAATTTCGGGATTTTATGCCCACGAGGAGTTCGATACCACTAAATAAACGATTTCAAATCTCTTGGTTCTTATTTCCCAATCCATTTCTTATTGTTATATAGCACGACTGTTATTCAGTACCAAAAATTGTTGACTGCTTTTTATTTTTATTTTCTATTCTAAGTACTTATATCTTTTATCATTTTATATTGTGTGATTTTTATATTTATATGTTTCATTTCTCAATCATTAACCGGCTAACACTTAGTGGTTTAAATATTTAGGTTTTATGATGAGACTTAAGTAAGGTTTGAAATTTAGTTTTTTCTAGTTGCCACCTTGAACGATACGCCTTACAGTTGTCGCGTGGTGTCGAGTCCTAGTTGACTATGAACACTGCTACTGAGAAACACGTGCCAATAAAATCAGAAGGCGTAATAGAACCAAGTTTATTTGATTGGCGATCTCGTGGTATCGAAAGAATACCAAAACCGTGCCAAGAAATGGTACAAGCAGAAGCAGCAGAAGGGAGTACGTGCGAGCGGAGTCACAAACGGCGAAACAATAATGGAGAATAGTGGCAGAGCAATATAGCTGTCTTTAGCACAGTTAAACAAACGAGCACAGTAAGACAATCACTGGTACAATTCGTTATAATAATGACTGTTTCCATTAAATCAATCGCGTTCTCTTGATAAAAGTAGGTCACTACACAGTTATTAGATCTAAGTTTAAGATGCAAACGATTTTCGAAATATACAATAAAAGCTTGACCATAAAACTTTGTCCTGAAATCGTCATCAATTTATTACACTGAAATATGGAACTGTATTAAAAAATACAAACTATGGTGGTGTTAGTATGTGAATAACAGATACTAAATAAATAATCAAATTGACATAATAAGTAAATAATATATTTGTAATATCCCAATGATTAGAAAAATTAGATTTTCTGACGTTTCGTGACTTAGTGTGAGCCACTTCTTCAGACAATAAATAAATAAACAAGTCAAGACTTAAACTCGGATTAATTTTGATTCAGTTATTTATTTATTGTCTGAAGAAGTGGCTCACACTAAGTCACGAAACGTCAGAATATCTAATTTTCCTACTCACTGGGATATTGCGAATATATTATTTATTTATTTATTTATATCAATCTACCCAGTGCTCAATTTATTCGAAATTACGCAGTCAAACCTTGGTAATGACACCTACAAATTGACATAATGTTTAAAAAGACGTAAATTATCATGACTAGATAAAAACACCTTGTTTATAGTCTTGGAGGTTATTTTAGTGGCTTGCACATTTTAAACTAAAGATATTGAGGTTCGTCTTGCGTAGACAATGTCCTCTGGATAGTCATAATTTAACGGAAATAATCTAATAACCACTTTATAATGTCAGTGATTTGTAAACCTTATAACGACTGTTTCTCTTTCATACAGGATTTCATTAATGATGTCCTGGTTATTTTTTATTTCAGACTTTCCATTATGATTTATATTAAGTTTCATAGATGACAGTTTAGTTGTTTCATTTCTGATAACCGTTTTACCGTGATGAACGGTAATTCAGTTTTTAATACTTTGGTATTTGTGTTATATTAGTTCAAAAACAATCTCCAGCTACAACTGAAGATGAAAATACTGAAGATTTACTGACACCATTTAGTGCAGGAAAAACGTCAATAGATTTTAATAAATATTCAACACAAAAGGTATTTAATAGCAAAGTAAGTTCATATTTGTGTTTACTGAAAACACATTTCACCTGATCAAGAATAATTAACAAAATAAAATAACATGAATTATATTTCGGAGTTCCTCATCAGTTGCTTACAACCTAAACATAATAGTACTTGATTACACGTACGCCTGTTATCCATCGTCGTGGCGCATAAGCCGCTCACCAGCATTCTCTACTCAACTCTGCCCTGGGTAGTACTTTACAGTTGTTTCCTCTTCATGTCTTCTTCCAATTCTCAACACAGTGTGTTCTTTAGCCTTCCTATTTTCTGTTTCCCTTTAAGATTCCAAATTAGCGTTTGCCCCGTGATGCAATTTGATGATTTTCTTAATGTGTCGTATCCACCTACAGCATCTTTTCATAATTTCCTCTTCAGCTGGAAGTTCGTTTATTCTCTCCCATAGTAGGCCATTGCTGATAGTATCCGGTCAATGGACATTGAGTATCTTGCGTAGACAATTGTTTATAAATAATTGTACCTTTTTAATAATAGTTGTGGTAGTTCTCTATGTTTCAGCTCCATACAATAGAACTATCTTAACGTTCGTATTGAAGATTAAACATGATAGTATTGATCATCAAAAATCAGCTTACATACTTTACAACATAGCATTAAAAATGCTTACATCAAAAAAGAATAATGTAAAGAGAAAGAACACAGGCGTACTTATCGGCGTCCGACAATGGTGGTCTTTCTTGACTTACAGGCAGCATTTGACTCCGTAGACCGCGAGATTCTGTGGCAGTGTCTGTCATTGAAAGGCGTACCCCAAAAGTACATAAACCTTGTAAAAGCTCTTTACTCGAACACGACTAGTCGAGTCAGAGCTTATGACGAACTGTCATCTACTTTTGCAACCTTAAGTGGTGTCCATCAAGGTTGTCAACTTTCTCCATTTTTGTTTAACTTCATCATAGACCTATTGATGGGAATAACATTCTCGTCGACTGAATTCTTGGGTATTGATCTCCGTCCAGGAGGTCCACTTATCGACTTAGAATACGCAGATGATATAGTCCTGTTTGGTGAAGACGCTGACAAAATGCAATCTTCTGGTAGCACTAAGCAACAATGCAAGAATGTTTGAAATGCGCTTCTCTCCCTCTAAATGCAAGTTGTTGCTTCAGGACTGGTCTGTGTCAACACCTGAACTAAGGATAGGGAGTGAAGTAGTCGAACGCGTTGACAACTTTACTTATCTTGGAAGTCTGATCAGCCCTAATGGGTTGGTGTCTGACGATATCTCAGCACGGATTCGAAAAGCTCGCTTGACTTTTGCCAACTTACGTCACCTATGGCGAAGACGAGATATCGGTCTATCAATTAAGGAACGAATATACTGCGCGGCAGTTCGTTCTGTTCTACTTTACGGCTACGAAACGTGGCCATTAAGAGTAGATGATACTCGTAAGTTGCTAGTATTTGACCACAGATGTCTTAGAAATATTGCTGGCGTCTGCTGGGATCACCAGGTAAGTAATAGTGAGGTTAGACACAGGGTATTAGGATATGATGGTAAATCAGTTGATGAGGTTGTGAATCTTCATCAACTGAGATGGTTGGGCCACGTGTTACGTATGCCTGAACACCGATTACCACGACGTACAATGCTATCCGGTGTTGGATTTGGTTGGAATAAAGTTAGGGGCGGCCAAACTAAAACGTGGCATCAGTGTTTGAAGTCACTAACTTCTGAGCCATGTTTGTAGATGCAGACTACTTGGTTGGGGTCCGCGTGACTGTCGTAACCAATGGTTGGAGACTCTTGGTGACATGGCTCAGAATCGATCACAATGGCGTCGGTGTTTACACTCCTTGTCTTCCCTTAAACTAAGAGATTAAAATCGCTTCATATCTTTCTTTCTACGAACTAATTCTTTCTCCGTGTACTGTATGCTTATTGCAATCTTTCTTTTATATATTAACACCTCTGAATTAACTACTTTTGTGAATCCGGTGCCCATCTTGTTGTGTTAATGAGGTATGGCAACTTGGACCGATGCATACATGTGCCTGGTCCTACGTTGTAGCTGACTGACTGACTGAAAGAGAAATAAGTATGAATGAATTATAAGAGATGTTTATATCTATTGAATAATATGAATACTTATAAGTTGAATATATCGTTATTCTCGAATAAACATTAAAAACGAGATATCAACATTGTTATTGTGCAAAGTAAAGTAAAATTATAAAGTAAAATTATATAACTGAGTACAGCTTAAATAAGAAGTGTTGTGAAAAATTGCATAATAAACATTTGTAAAAGACTTCACAGCAACAGAACAAGATTGGCAACTGAATCTTGTTGGGTTCGAATCCTACGAGACGGGGTCGTGGATGCGCACTGCTGAGTCCTACAATAGGCGAAACAGCCGTCCAGTATTTCCAAGTTTTCCATGGTGGTCTAGCTTCAATTGACTCATGATCTCAACTATTGAAATTACTACAATCTCCACAAAACCCCTTCTGGCATAAATTACTTCAGCAAAACATGGTAAATTCAACGTTTTTGTTTATTTATTTATTATCTTGAAGGAATTTGTAAAGATTTTAATGTGTAATTTAATTGAATAACAGAAAACAGCTTGATTTATATGTATTTTATATCACTTATTTTTTTAAACTATCTATCTTTTTATTAATTAAAACAAACTAATGAATTAATTTTTATTTAATTTAAAAGTTGACAAATTCAAATGGGATAAAATCAAAGGAATTTGAAAAATATTGTATCAATAATAATGTTGTGAATGAACCATTAGTAGTACGAATAAATAATGAGAATGATTTAAGTAGAATTTCAGCTTTGTCCTTCAATGATAAGAATTCACTGACTGATGCAAGTAGAGGTAAGTTTATATATATATGGAAAAAGAATAAGAAATATTTGTTACTTAGCTTAGAAGTTATCCTTATTAAGCCGAAATAGCTTCCCGCTCATATTGATTAAATAATACCTAGGAAAAAATTACAACGTTTGTCTACATCCTGTCAGATGCTGAAAAATTGTGAAAGCTTTTAAATCCCCTGTAAGGGAATTCAAAAAATTTAATCGAAAAGAATATTCTTCGTTAAAATACTAGTCTTTTAATTCTAAAGTTCTTGGAAAACATTTAAGTAAATACGAAGTATTAACTCGAAATTAATGTGGGGGATCGCTGAAGTTAATCATAGGGTAGTGAATAGTTTCGAGTACTGAACCCTTGTCTTTATGTAATGTCAATTTTGATGGTTGAGTGGCTAATGATACCTCAGAATAGACGAAAAACTATAAATGAAGTTTTATCAACCTCTGAAATCTGTGATGTAGACAAGATATTAGTCAACTTTTCAGATATCAGTTGTACTATGTAGGAGTCCTTTGTGTGTTAAATGAAAACCCAGAAGTATTACAATATGTTTTTGAAATCTTGATCTTAAAATCAATTAGTCTGTCACTAGTTAGCGACCAGTATGTTGTATTTGTGTACCTATATTCCAAATTTAGATTATCTAGTTTAATGAAATAACAGTATGACAGAATAATGCGTGGGAGAACTTTAACTATACAATTTAGTTTAATAGGTAACTCTTTTGATTTGTTCAAATGTACTGTGGTGATTTGTGGTAGCGAAAGTAAGTATGATTGGTCACTGATTGTGGACAGATAGGAACCCGACTTACTGATCATTACATATATGATTTCATTTCCTCTAATTGATTTCTACTCCGGACACACTGTGAGGGACTGCTTGTAATTGCGTGGGATAAAGTGTAGTCTAGAGTTACTCTGGTTCCTTCTTCTTGGTCATGAATCAGGCATCTAATATAACGTGATATGGTCTGTGTGTAGCGGATCTTTTGAGTATTCAGTCTAACTGTATTATAAGCTCAGTCACATATATCGGTTTTATTATCATATTATTGTATTAGCTTAGCATACTGCAGAGAGAGAGAAAGATGTTTTAATTCATCCGTTATATCAGGTGCTATATACTATATAAATTAATAAGTAACAAAAATAAACGTTGAAAGTATTTGGGAACAGAAAATGGTTAGAGTTATAAATTATGACCTGCGTGCCCTGTTAGTGTATAACGTAATGATACTGCCAACTAGAGAGCAGTGAATTATCGATCGGACTAATGACTCCTAAAACCCGTGCGAGTAGTCTAGAATCCAGATTGGTCTTGCTCTCTGCCTAGCCAGCCAGTTACGTTCAGAACACCAATCTCAGCCTCTGCGATATGAATCATTTAATTCAAACATACTCGGTTTGTATACCAACCAGACGGACCACACCGTGACATAAAATATGAAACAACATTTGTACAAGAATTAGCCAAATGCGGCTGTGAATAAGGGAGGTAGTAATTAATAGACAGGGCATGATTTAAGAATGCTAAATCTTATAGTAATAGTTCATAGGTCAAAATAAAGCTCATAATAAGAGGGACACGGATATGAATCGTTTAGTTACATAACAATTATACGATAAAAATATACTTATAGTATTGGTCCATAAATAGATCCCAAAAATTACCATTCATTATGCTTATCGGGACATAACAGTTAGGATATAGGGAGTTAGACACACAATGGAAAGAAAAGGTAGGTATTTTATATGAGTGAATAAAACAAAATTATAATAAATACTACAAATCAGAAAGCAACAGATAAATTTGTAGACAGTGGACATAATAGCAATTAACGAAAATAATTCAGACCTCACGTTTTGTAAATTAACGATCTGTTCAAAGTAAATGGATTTTTAGTGTAGTGCACAGGAGAAATAAACTGAGAAAAATAGAATGATCCAAAATATTGAAATAGAAGTATGAACTGGTAAGATAAGTGGGTTATTGTAACAGAGGAATATTGCTTATTCTAATAAATAAACCATATAAAAAGTTAAATACACTTCAAAATATTGAATAAATAATATGACATTAAACAAGAACATTGAAAGTAGGCTGAAAATAATAAAAATAAAAATTAAGTCTAATTGTTTTCACTTGTTTTGAGGATTTACATTTGAACGTTAAGACGTATCTCTTCACCTGATATTATTATAAACAACTCAATACCATGACGCTTATTACGTCTATTATTAACTAGTATACCTTCTGAGGTACAAGTTTAAGGTTCCTACTTTAAATTTGTGAAATATGTATTAATTTAAAAATTCAGTCTATAAACTTATAAGATAATTCCTTATTTACTGAAATTAAATTTCTATAGAACCTTCACGAATTGAAAGCAAAATGAGTACATTCGATGATCAATTAATATTATCTGTTGATGAATTAGTGAATGAGAATAGAATAGATTGCGGAAGTTATTGCTCAACTAATCGTTTTGACAAATCGTACAGTGAGTTTCTGATTTGTTACTTATAGTTCGGATGGTAAAACATTATTTGAATCAAAAGTAAGATACATATGAAAAGTGGGCTTTATTAGAACCTAGAAATACTGATATTAGGTTTCCAGTAAGTTGAATTCTGATATTTTATATGTACCCAATCGATCGACAATAAAGAAAACATTACTGGTCTTAAATGAACAGCATATTTACTTAAGAATGCAAGTCACAGGTAAAAATACAGCTGCTTATTTGGCTGAAGTTGAACGTGCTCGAGCAACGCAGGTATATTAGGACATCGATACCTAACTCGATGTGTTAGCTTATTCATTTCACTAAAATTTAACGAGATCTCCATCAAGTGTTGAATACTCATTAAACTGTTTTTAAGTGGTTTTTGCCTTTACATTATTTGTAGGAGAAATGGACTCGTAAATAAATATCTTTACATATGTAGTCAAAAAATAAACCTATTGCTCTTGTCGATGATATTCGTAATAAAGTTTCCTAATGCTCTAGAAAGTATATTGTGTCAAGATATGATAGTTCTGTAGAATTAATCAAAGCTCAGTTACTAAAGTCATAGATTGGGAAGAACAGAATAGGGTTACTTTTCTTAACTGATCTAAGTAATAATTATTTTAATATTAAAAAATGTCTTACTGGGTATATATATATATATGAGATATCCTGGAAATAATTTCATTGCAATCAATATCTATGATTACTTAACACTGTCCATACTTTATACACAGGTATCTCGGAGAAGACATTACCGATGTCATCTTCAAATATCATTTGACAAGAATAGTGGTAAACCTGTAACTTACATCCTCAAAGGAAGTAGTCTGTCAGTACATCCTTATCGTGTAACTGCTACATAGTTTCTTAGATGTGATGTAGATTAGATTTTTGACCTAATGGTTCATGTAAAATGGATAGAGAATAATTAAACAACCTATATCTGTAATGTCACATTTTAAACTAGCTGTTACGGATTGGTTACTGGACTATCCTTATGAAACCCTTTTAAATAGACCTTAGCAAAAGGCTAGTCCATGCATTTAAACCAATTTTATCATTCATCAAGTTAAATTACCAATGCATTGTGCAAACGTTTCCTGTCAGAGAAAACTATTTCTTTCTTATTCAAACTTGTACAGTTAAATCGCTAGTTATAATATACTACTTTAATCTCATTAAAATTGTTAAATATAAAATACTAGTAATATATACAGAATACGTGTTGTAAGCAAACTAGCCGACCTACTAGATAGATTTTAATCAGAATTAAATGTTGAGACAAATATGGCATTAATAACTACTTAGTGACCGATCAATTGTAAATATGCTTCAGTCGTACAGGAGGTCAATTATAGACAGAACAGTTCAGTAGTAACAACTTAGACTGTGAAGCTGGGTGATTCAGATTTGGATCCATTAGGGAGTATCAATCTCATTATGAAAGAAGTAGATATTGCTAATGAGTGCCACACAGAATGAAAACTTCGTTCAAGGTTCCTACCTCCAACCATCTAACATGACTAACTGAGTAGCATTTAACCTAACCGAATGGAGGAGAACTACAAGTTCACTGAAATAAAATCAACACATGAAAAAGTATAATAAAATAAATTAAGTAAAGTGTAAGTTTTTATGGAAGTTATAGATTCGCAACTAGATTTGTTACTGATGTTAAGTACTACTTATCAAAATATTTAATGATATTACTGATAAAATATCACTCGCAAAAAGTACTATGGATAAACAGTGACACTAGTTAATGGCAATTCTAGATATCAATCTCACTTATCAGTAGAAGGACAAATTAATTTGACATATAAGAGATCAGTGATTATTAATTCTATTTTAAGTAATTTGAAATTGATTTCAGTAGTTGAAATGTATTTATTTATTTGCTTTCTTTAAATCATGTTTGAAACATCTTATCACTGATAATTAATTGAACGTTCATACTTTCAGTTCATATATTTCTTATTTTATTCATGTACTGTTTCAAAATGGAATGACTAAAATGTTTACAATTTCAAGCTAAAACGTTTTTCCCTTTATTTGAAAAATGACAAAATTCAAAAGTTGCAAGGATTTTGGCACATAAAGGAATATGAAATACTTACGCATATGTACTAGTAATATTGATTATAAAAGTAATCATTAAGAACTCTAAAGTCTTCACTATTTTTATTGACTCAAACTATTTGGTTTACACTTTCAAATCATTTTAGTTTACTGCTCTGTTTTCATTACTCAATGATAGTGTTTAGAGATTGAAGTAAATTTTTAAAAGATTCACACTGTAGATACTATCGAATTGATAACTCAGCTGTTAATACTCAGTGAGACTAGACAAGCCCATTCATGTCCGTTCTGTAGATCACTATTTTTTTTAGCTCCGGAGATCGGTCGTGTATCTAGACACTTGAAACTGATTATTCTTTTCTTAATTCTTAACCACATATTGATTAAACAAATGCTATTACGTATAGCTGCTATTATCTTCCTTGAAATTGTAATCTATATATCCTATTTATGTCATTTCCGTTTAAAATTTCCCAAATTTAAGGACAGACAAAGAACATCCTCATTAGAGCAACAATGCAAGTAAGATATGCTCATAAAATAGCTTAGAGATGTTTTTTTGCTATGGTATTTAGACTTAAAATTCTTATCAGTAAAACTCACTTATCTTCTTAGATGAAAAATCACTGATAGATATTGAAGAAATTATTGAATGTGAAAACTCCCATTCATCTAGCTTGACGGAGAAGATATCTAATAAAAAACTTCCATTGGAAAAGATATCTTGTCAAGTGGACAATGAAAACAATACTAGTGAAATAGATGAATATTCAGATGATTTTGAAAATGAACAAGATCTAACTAGTTCAACTAAAGAAAATTTAAAATGCAATCTAATCACAACGCAGAAATCATTATCACTTAAAACAAAAAAGGCTGATTGTTCAGTAAATCAAAAAGTTTATAATGCAGGTTCGTTGATAATGAATGATTAATTACATATATTGTGTATTTTGCTGGAGAATAACTAGTGAATGTGTTTTCGGTTAATATACTATTTTTACAAGTACATTATTTTTCAGAGTATGGAAGTCACGTAATTTTCAACCTGAGTGAAGCGAATCATTGCTTGGATACTTATACACCCATAAAATTTCAATGAAATTCTTAATCTAACGGTCTGAGTGTTTTGTACGCTTTAAGTACATTGTAGTTTGCCGTGTGATGTTTGCTAGTTTAATTTTTTACACGTCTTCATGATAAAAACATAGCTTGATTAGAAAGTATTTTAAGAAGTTAACAAGTGTTGATAGACAATCTCAACTAAGTTCTATCCTTGAGGTACATTAAAAAATAATGATATAAAAAACCATCAAGTAAAAGTATCCCAATCGTCATAGGATATAATTACTCCTGTAAAAGAGATTTTGATGAATCTAGCCTAATATATTCACTGGGTGTTTTCAATATTTTTCAGGCTATAACATTTATCAACCTCTTCCTTTTTGAATGGGTTAAGCAGATATTTCAGTACAACATGGTATATTCTGTCATAATGTTAACTTTATTTGTATCATTTGTCCTTGTTGAATTACCTACTTACGCCTGGCACCCCTTGTAGAGCATAAGTTACCAACATGAATTTTCTCACCTACTCTATTCTAAGCTCTCCTTTCCGGTTGTTATTCACTCCTTTGATGTGTGCTTGCACTTCCCGGTGTAACATGTTCTTTGGTCCGCACAACAGAAGTGTTTTGACGTTCGTACTGAGAATTCTAACTTTGATGTTGGCATACAGTTTTTTTAAGTTCCATATGTTCTTCAATTGTAGGGATGGCGCTCTCGATTTACGACTTTACTACCAGTTTGCTTCATTCATCATTTACCAATCACAATATCCTCATATTTTTTATCTCGTAGGTTTGTTTATATATTGTTACCGATCTATCAGGGTAGTTAGAACATCAACCACGTAATCAGATATAAAATTAACATTATGTTATTGTAGATAACAGCTAATATAATAAATGCTTTTAAATGAAGTAAGATCCTGATAGAATTTGAAATAATATCTATGACTATCTTATGTGTGTTAATGCTATGTGTTATATAACGTTTTCTGAAACCACAAATTAGCTCCGACGAATTCCTATGGACCATTGAATAAAACGAATTTACGTGAAACGATTTCATATAAAAAGTAAGTACAAATACGCTATTTGTCAAACTATCAATTATTTATAAAGTTGCATCAAATTTACACAATACTGCCCAAAACTAATAATTTACGTTTATGTTTCATAAAAGCGTAACATTTTTCAGTCGAAACCAGTGCTCAATAAAAAATAAGGATCTTAAATTTACGAAACAGCATTTGGACGAAACAACTACCCAAAATGACAGATATTATTCAGTAAATAATTTATGTGGTTGATGAGACGGTGAAGGTTTAACATATTCAATAGTACATAAATAAAAATTTCACCCATTCGGAGTTTGCTGAATTAGATGCTGCATAGGATGATAGGATTCGATTATGATGGTTTCCAAGAATGGATTTTAAATATTTGAATTTCAGTGTTATGATATTAAAATTAACTAGTAAAAACATGAGTTGCCTGAACTGATAATCTGACCATTGTTTTGATAACAAGATCTGAGACTATCACATTACAAAACGACAAAACGATCTGGGTATTACGTGAAAGTAAAACTTTTCAAATACAAAAAACTCAATTAAAGCAGTGTAACTGAGTAACTTGACAAATAATTATTCCGAACTAAACATGAAATTCACAAGATGACAACTGAACGAGGTTGTAGTTCTGTCCGACTTATACCCTAGTCTAATTTTTATTCTACATTCTCAGTTATACAACCCACTAGGCGTTAACATTGGATTACTATTCAACGAGTTTATGCAGTATGATAGTAAATTTTCACCACGAACTAACAACAGTTGGAGAACCACTGAAAAATAGAAGTATTAAGTTGCTGATTTTTTCCAGTCTGAAAGTTCATAAACGAAAATGACATGAAGTATTAAATCATAGTGTGAACAGCGCATAATTAAGTTTACCGACTTTTTATGCTTTTTTTCAGAATATCAAAAAACGTATCTGAAACCCAACAAACAAAGGATGCTGAAGTTCAAACAGTGTGGTCAGGTGAATTTCCACAAAACTACCATAATCCACACAACCTTCCAATAATAAAATATGAAGAAATTCCTAATTCTACTGTTAATACTACTCTTAAAATGCAAAATATAACATCATCGCTCATAAATTACAAAACATTACATAGTAAGTGTCATATTTCAAGAAGTTCCCCGTGATATAAATTATGATAGTTGTAAAATTGTTATTCTCTGCCGTTTGTGTAATTGGCTATCTGAAACATATATATCGAATTTCAGTACTCAGAAAAAATTTAGTGTATAATGGAGGAACCATTAATACCAACACTAGAGACATTTTCTGACAATCATTGGGTTGATTAAACTTACTAGAGCCATTTATAATAACAATAAGTTATTGTTTTACATGATGAATATAATTTGTCAACGAAAACTAGTACGTGATAACGTTTCAAGTGAACGGTACTGGGTTCGAGTCCCGGAGTATATATCAACCCTAGGATATAATAGCATCCGACTGACGAGTCCCAAACACGATGAAACGCGCGTCTTGCATTCCACTGTTAGACATTATCTCTATTTAGAAAGCTATTACAATTAATTTGTAACATTTATATATACACCTTGTTAAAGAATCGATTATAATTTTTCACGATTATTTTTTAATTAGCTTTAACAACTTATAATCCTTGTTTAACTGCACTGGATAATATGTTGAAACAACAAATAAATCTTACAAGAGAATTTTTAAGAACACAAAGAAATTTACATGAAACGATTAGTAAAGCAATAAGTCAATGTGTTATTACAAACAATTATAATTAAAGAGAGAGATTTATACAGGTAAGTGATAAATATATTCAAATAAAAATTTCCATGAAACTATATTGTTTCGTTAGAAAAGTAAGCGTTTGGTCTGTCACTTATGTATAACCAACAGAACTAGTTCATTTTGAAGGTAATCTCTTGTCAATACATGTTATTACTTTATAAGCCATCGAAAAAACCGTGAATGACTTAACGACTAGTTTATTCTGGTTCAGTTTCGAGTTTGCTTCATAAGAGATTTAAAATTGTCATTACATTACATATAAATAGATCTTGTATTTTGTGGAACTATGAATGTGGACAACTGAACAGTCCCAGATTCAAACACTTTTCCCATTGTATCTAACACTTTACTAGCTGATATCAGTTTGAATTTTCACTAAATCCTTCATGTATTTTTGATTGTATAGCTTAAAAAATGTCACTGATTGTTGTTTTTTGTGAACTTTCAAAGTAATTAGAAATATCAGAGTAATGAATTGTTCAAAGGACTAAACAACTAACTTAAATATCAGTAATCCAAATCCTTATCAGCCATCATACAGTTTATGGAAATTTCTCGAGGTTAAGTAAATGTCTTCTCACCTTGCTTTTGGATGTGGTTTCCATAATTATATCTGATGATGATACAAATAAAATAAACTAAACTGCAGTTTACATCTATTAAAATGAAACTTAGATTCTTAGTGAAAATGTCACAGGTTTTAGTAATCGATTTAGCAACTCAGTGGTATACACTTTTGGATTTTCAATTGAAAGGTAACGAGTTTGAATCTCAGCGTAGAAATCAACACTGAGATTTATGGACATCTGGTTGTTCAATCTTAAAAAGAAAGAAACGAGGGTTACGTATTCGACTGGTAACTAAATATTGAATATAAAACTTATAATATAACGATAAAATGTGATAATGGGATAAAAAAGATAGTATAGTAACAGGGATTTGGCAATCTCAATTCTGAATATAAGAAACGAGAAATTGTAAACACTTACTAATGTATGAAATATGTTGCTGAAATCAAAATCGTGCACCATTTCTGTTTAAATCGAAATTACTTCCAATTAACATCCATGATGAGATCTACACAACTTGGCAGTTTCATGTAAATTTATACGAACAAAATGGTAGATAGATTCTCAAGTGACTACTAAGATGTTTCATAATAGTCTATACATATACTTTTATTCTATTAAATATTTGAAAATAATAGATGTATATTTGTACATTTATTGAATAAAACATGTTTTATATTGAATGGTCAATTTTCATTTAAGAATTACAATGAATAGAGATTATAATTTGATTTTACAAGAAAAAATAATGCAATAATCTAACACACAAAATTAAAATCTAAACGAATATATATTTATCTATCTATTTTTGTTTTATTACAGACTACAGTGAAGAGATTATAGAGAAAAAAATGACATCTGAAAAGTATTAATAATAACTTTTGAGATGTACTTCATGCGGTCCAATAAACTGAACACTAATACTAGGATTATTAATATCATTAATTTTCTAGAGTATAAATTATATTCAATTAGTTGATAAGTATATGAGAATATAATGGTTAAGTGAAATTTTATTAAAGCTATTTAATCGACAATTTGTAATCTTTATTTTTCTTCTTTAAAACGCATATTACGAAATATGAAATTATCTTTGTATTTATCATAAACATGAAATATGATAAACGGCCTATCTTGCTACCTCCCTCCCCACTCTTCACTTCACTATGTAAAATATGAATAAATGTTATTTTAAATTACAGTACAATATTTATATTTTATTTACAAATATATATATATATATGAAAATGTACTCTCCATGACATACAAAACTAATCGGGAAGTAACGGCATTAAACGAGCTTGTTTAGCTTTGTGTTTTTTGATTCGTTTATCTCGTGTTGTTATTAATTCATCGAATAGATCGATTTGTTGATTCTCTTCTAATTTTCTAGCTAAACATTCTAAACCAGCTAAATTCATACCGATAAGATTCTAAAATGTACAAAAGAGAAATAAGTGAAAATAATTAAAGATTTTAAGAATGTTATAACCTTATTGATGTTTATTAATGTAGAGAAGTGATTGTCATTAAAACTGATAGTTCCGAAAACATTTCACTTCAGTATAGCAGCGAGTCGATATGAATAAATATTCAAAGTTAAATAAACTAAACAAATCGACACAAAATCCCTTCAGCTAAATTGTAACAGTCAGCTCACTGGTGACTTCGAGATGTAGTTCAAATTCTAGTGAGAAGTTGGGATTTTAGAGTTTATTATATTGGAAGTAAGAAAGCTTTCATCAATGACATTAGATAACCGTCGCTCTATATCATAAATGGATTAAATTTCAAGTCGTACCATGAGACGTCAACGTAATAGTTGTAATCGCTAGGTGTTAGCTGTAAGATAAGAAGCCCTTGTATTCGATCCTCAGTGGCATTTTAGGTGCGAACTGCTGAAGAGTTCCATACTAGGGTAAAAGAGTTTTTCAGTGCTACTACTGGTACCTTAGAAATTAAACCAATCTCCATAAAACCCTTCAAACGGTAATCAATATAAATTGATTCTACATTACACTACTCTCATTTTTTTCAAACATTATGGTTGGAGATCGTAGATAACATGAATACAATAGCTAGTTAGGGGAGAGATATTTTTCCTTTATTATTTAGGATCCTTAGCTTTCCAACTGCTTAGATTCCTACCATTGTAATGTGTGGTAACTTAAACTGATACCAATCTGTGGAAGGTTATACATTGTTGGTGTCTGTCTGCTGCATGGCTTTTTCCTTTTAGTAAAATCACGACTTCCACTGGTCAAGTCAAGAATTTAGATTCATCATCATTAAAAAGGATGAAATGGAAAATAAATAGATTTTGATCAAAAACGTCCTCAATGACAAAATTCACAGTGGAAAAGGATTCGAACAATAAGCTATTATTCTTAGGTGTCTTGATCACCAGGACCAACACAGATGAACCGGACACTTAGGTATGTCGGAAGCCAACTTATAAAGATCAAAGTCGCAACTACATTAGGATAAAGAATCAGGTCAAAGGGAGGGACAATTAAAACAAATATGCAGACAGGTTGTAGGGCAACAGTACCCAATCAGGATCGACATGACAAACTACTAGTTATATGCGCAGAAATTCGAATACCTCACTTCTACCTGAAGTTTGTGCTGCTGATGTTGTTCACGACTAAGCCATCTATCTAGAAAAAAGAAACTCCACCAGGAATAGGATATTTCCTTCTTTCTGTTTATTGTTGCCGGGTAACTATCACTATAAAAGCACAGATTACATGAATTGGAGATCACAAATATTTCGGGTGATCACTATGATCATATGTAAACGATCGATTCTGGAGCAAGTATAGATAGTAGAATAGCCTCAGTTAAATTAGATGTCTTTTGTGAGTCTGAGTCGACCTGTACAACTAATAATAACAATTTCCTTTTCTCCACAAACTATAATCAAAATGATACACACAAAGAGAAAATAACCATGTTAATCATTTATGAAATAGGTTTGCAGGCCTAAAATTATATCGTAATTCATATTTCCTTTTAGCTTCAATTATAATTTTCACATGTATAACTAAAAAAGTAATGGATGACAGGAATAGATATTAGTTACTACTTATTTTTTTGTCCCATCATGCAGTAGAGATTTTATGAAGATCGTGTTCGTTTAAACGAAGAAAATTAGAATATTACAATAAACAAGCAGCCCATTATTAATAGATAAATGACTTGAATATATGAAACTATAGTAATAATATGGCTAAAACAAGAGACATACTTTTGCACGGACTAATTGTTCCATCCTAGCCTTAGATGACTGACGGATTGCGTCACGTAGCTCGGAACATGATATTGCAAGACCAAAGTGTAGAGTTACTAAATGACGAATTGAACGTCCAACAAGTTCTATTTCCCAACCACGTGATAACCAATCCGCTAACTTAGGAAGTAAACGGCGAACATGTTCACTAGTTAAAGCGCCCAGTGCATGTTCTAAACCTGCTCCACCACCACCTAAACGAGAATACGGTGCTCTTAGAGCCATTAAACTTTTGAGTAGAAATTTCTCTGGACAATTCGTTCCACGTGCAACCATTAAAGGATGTGGTGTTGTGTTTTTAGCTCCATTTTTACGTTTGACTATCTCTTCTTCATAAATGTCCATTGCTTCCATAAACATATCAGCCTGAAAGTTACGAGTAGAAAGTGTGTAAAAATGAAATCGTTAGAATTAGTGTTGAAAAAACCTGAAATTATTAAGAGATTGAGTATACGGTTTGTTTAGCTGGTAAAATAGATTTGAGTATCTTTGATGTTCATTGTGATAAAACTTATAATGGTAAGCTACAATTCACTTGACGTGCATTGATTCTGATACGAAGCTAGAAAACTGTTAATAAGTGTATTAATGTCGCACATATTAACTCAATGTTCTTCAACAATGTATAAAAGTAGTTTTTTAGCTACTGCTAACAGTTCACAAGTCTGGTTATTCCTTTTTTCGTCCATTGATTTTTCAATTATGCTAAAGGGAAGTTACAAATTAACCGATCACCACTGTAATGGTTATTTGTGTATTAGGATAAGGTTGCGTACCAAGCTATCAGGTATACATGTGTACGTATCAAAGGTACTATCTGCCTCCTCTAACATTCGAAAATGAAGTTCGGTTTGAAACCAAGAAATTTATTAGTGAAGAGGAATGCCACGAACATTCAGTTACAGTTGTATTAAATTTGGTAGTTGCTCAAACAGATATGAAAAAAACAATTAACTTTAGTGAAGTTGGACTGTGTTATACAAACGCACGATTCTTAGTATTTACAAACGTTGAAGTTAACTAAAGTGGTGGTATCTTTAAATCGTGTTCAAGAAAATGTCTCTTTCTTAAACGGTTACTCTTGTAAAGCAAAGTAGATTACAGGGAATAAAATTTCGTGAAACTACAATCT